GCTCTATTGAGCTCTACCTTTGTCCTTTAAGATAGGGTCTGCCCCTGAACCTGGAGCTAGACTAGAAGCTAGCAATGATCCTCCTGTCTTAGCACACATATCCCAACTCTCTAAAGTTATAGACATTCCATTGAATGACTACACCAGCCTTAGATAGGTGCTAGTATCTGAAACTAGGTCATCATGCTTGTATAGAAAGTGCTGTTACTCACTCTATCATCTCCCTAGGCTCTCAACTTTCTAATGCCCAAAGTCATTACCGCTTGATTTACTAGTGTGATGATATTTTATCTGTGTCCCCCAATAAAGTTTATCTGAGGATCAGAGGGAAAAGCCAGCCACTATAGTAAACATAGAGTTCAGGCAATGGTAGCACATGCCTTTAATCCTATCACTCAGAAGGCAGAGATCCATCTGGATCTCTGTGAGTTCAAGGCCACACTGGGAACAGAGCCAGGCGTGGTGGTAATTAACTTTAATCCCAGCACTAATCATAAAGGTCTGGAGGTCTGTACAGAAAGGAAGTGACAGAGTTTGGCAGGAAGAGGAAGTGATATAGCTGGACAGAGAGAGGAAATGAGATGGCAGAACAGAAAGCCATATAGGCGTAGGTATACAGGAAGTAGGTCTCTGGCTGAGGATCTCCAAGTGGTGAGAATGTGGCTAGCTTCTTTCTGCTTTTCTGATCTCTTGGTTTTAACCCCAATATCTGGCTCCAGGTTTTTTTTTTTTTATAAAGATTTATTTATTTATTATGTATGCAGCATGTATGACTACAGGCCAGAAGAGGGCACCAGATCTCATTACAGATGGTTGTGAGCCACCATTGGTTGCTGGGAATTGAACTCACGACCTCTGGAAGAGCAGTCAGTGCTCTTAACCTCTGAGCCATCTCTCCAGTCAGGTTTTTTTTATTAATAAGACTGTTTAGCAATTTAGTCTACATACTAGTATCACAAAATAGCATCTTTTTAAAATATGGTTACATTTTAAAGAAAGTGTAGGTTGTTGTCCAGTCTCTGCATAAGGACATTCTAAGTATAAAATCACATAGGAGCCAAGGAATGGTCACGGTACATGGTCTGTACATGGCATGAGGCCCTGAGTTCACTCCGCAAGACTCCCCAAAAAGCCATTATAAATGAAAAGGTAATTATGGTTTTTAAAAAAATACCCGGTATGACAAGCAATAGTCTTCCTGTATCAATAGTTCTCACAAACGAGTGTGTGGCAGGCACAGCGCCCTCAGCAGCCCTCTTCTTCCACAGATGGATCTGCAATGTGCCTATGGAAAGGCAATGAAACTTCTCCCAGCTCTGAGCCACTCCCCCACCAATTATCTCCCTTGGGCCTCTGCCTCCCACCTAGATGTCTTTTTCTTCTTGTCCCTGTTGCACTGAAGGTCCACATTGTCCAGATTTCAGAATTCACCCAAGACTTAGCTTCTGAAACATTGGTCTCTACCACACTCAGTAGCCTACAGGTAAGTAAGAACCTACCCGGGGCCCCATGACACATTATCTAATGCCTGCCAAAGCCCAGGACACTGGTTCCTACCCTGGCAGAGGTAGGAAGACAGAGATTAAACAAACGATGGCAAGAAAACACAGACAGGGTGTGGTGAGTAGGTCAGGTGCAGCTGGATGGGAGGACTAACTTCTAATATTCTCAGCACAATAGGAGATCTGTCGTCAATGACAATGACTTTAAAACTTCTGGTTTGAAATGATAAATGCCTGAAGTGATAGATATGTCAGTTGCCCAGATCTGATCATCACATGCTATGTGCATATATTCAAATGCCACACTGAACTACATAAACGTATACAGTTACTATGTCTAGAAAAGCCTTCAAAGGGTTTGTATACGCAATTTCTTGCTAACAGCTAAGGATAAGGTTGTTTAATGCTTGAACAAATAAACAATAGAGATACAAATTAGAATGAAGGTGAATCATTTTTATCTGTGAAATGGGCCAAGTGCTAGCAAGCACATCATACAGCAGGCGGTGGGGCCGTCGTCTTTCTGGAGAGTAGAGCAGCCCTATGACCCAAGAACATCACAGCACTCCTGTCCTTTGTAATTCCATTTTTGAGAATCTGATCGTAAGCAACAAGGATATAATTTAAAGATTAAATTATGAAGCCATTCGTCACTATATCTGGTACTTAACATATAAACAATGATAATAGCTAATAATACCTTATTTGTGGTGCCATTATGTAGCTAAGAAAATGGCATAAGAGTGGACCTTACACATCACTGAATAAGCACCATTCACTGCTCCAAGTGGTTCCCATGTAGTAATTCATTTATTTCTCAAAGTAATATGACACCTATAGGGAGACTAGTGCTAGTGACATGTCTAACTTCCCAGTGAAAAACCTGAGGCACTGAGAAGGCGACTTAACCTAGATCACACTAAGACAAATCCTAACATTCTAGGCTGAAACTCAAACATCCAAAAAGCTATGGAAACAAAATGTTTTCATAACTTTTTGGTAAACTCATTTGTTGCTAAACCTTGCCATGAATTAATGCCAAACTATGCATCACCTTTACCCAATTAAGATTCAGTTTACTAAAGAGAAGTTAATGTAATTGATGACATTCAGGGCTGTCTTAGTCAGTGTTCTCTTGATGTGAAGAGGCACCATGACCAGGGCAACTCTTATAAAAGAAAACATTTGATTGGGGCTGGCTTACAGTTTCAGAGGTTCAGTTCATTATCATGATAGTGCAAAGCATGGCAGGGAGCATGATGGCACACAGGCAGACATGGTACTGGAGAAGTAGCTGAGAGTTCTACATCCAGATCCACAGGCAGCAGGAAGAGAGAGGGGCTGGCCTGGCTTGAGTTTTCAAAACCTCAAAGCCCACCCACCAGTGACACTTTCTCCAACAAGGCCACACCTCCTAATCCCTCAAAAGTAGTACCGCTCTTAATGACCAAACATTCAAATATATAAACCTATAAGGAGCCATTCTTATTCAAACCGCTACAAGGGTACAGTATACACACCATATCACCCTTCAATAAAACGAAACATCAGCTCACAGATTTCAGGTATGGAACTGTGACAGAGCTAGAATTAACATGTAAACTATCTGTTTCTGTAGTCTGTGCTTCTAATCACAGCATGATATTTTCAGACACTACTGAATGCCATGGGAAAATAGTTACAATTCAAGCATTCAGTTAGTTGTTGATGACACACTGTGTGCCATACACACAAATGCTACTAGAAGAGACAATATTGAGGTGTGTCCCAGACAAAGTAATCAAATCTAGTTTTCCTGAGGAAACATTTGGCCTCAGAGATCAAGGGTGAGCCAGAGTTAATAAAGAGAAGAGCAATGACAGGGAGAGGAACAAGTATAAAGGTCCCAAAGTGAGACACAAAATCATGATGAGCAACTGAAGAGTCAATGTAGACCCAAGCACAATGGCGCATGCTTGTAATCCCAGCTACTTGGGAGGCTACATCAGGAAGAGTTAGAAGCTATCCACCATGCCCAGCCTAACTTTTTTTTAGAGGTACTAGATAGAGATCATGTGTGGGGATCAGGGGACAATTCGTGGAGTCAGTTCTCTCTCCTTCTGCCGTGTGGGTCCTGGGGATCAAACTCAGGTCATCTGGTTTGGTGGCAAGCACATCACCATTTAGCCATTTCTCTGGCCCAGTATAATCAATTTACAAATTTTAAATATTGTTCCCACTGCAGAGCAGAAAAGCAGGAACGCTTTAAAATGAGATGATAACTTCAGACCAATTAGAAGGTAACTACAAGAGACAAGGTGAGATAAGGGTAGCCTGTTCTTGGGTCATAGAAGGAGAGACAGGAGGAAGTGATTAGATCTGATCTTTGGTATGAAGACAAAATGAACACAAATTAATGATGGTATGGACATGGGTGTAGATGTAACCAACCGTCTTATTAAATAAGAAACACAGAAACAATGTAAAAGAGAAAGCCGAGAGGTCAGAGCTCAGAGCTAAAATCTCACCCTTCCTCCTGCTGTCCCAGCTTCCCGAAAGAGAGCTATTTCCTGTGTGTAAATCGTTTTTTCCAGTCATTCTGCCTTCTCATTGGTTGTAAACCCAAACACGTGACTGCCTCGTCACTGTCTGAATGTACAGCCCCCTAGGTCTTAAAGGCATATGTCTCCAATGCTGGCTGTATCCCTGAACACACAGAGATCTATGGGATTAAAGGCGTGTGCCACCACCGCCACACTCTTGCTATGGCTCTAATAGCTCTGACCCCTGGGCAACTTTATTTATTAACATACAATCGAAATCACATTTCAGTACAATTAGAATACCACCACACATGGGGAAACGGAAATGGTACTGATGAGGGCAAGATTCCTGGCTTGAAAACTAAATAGATGTACGACTCATTGGGACAAGAACACTGGTGGCTTACACAGACTAGAATCTTCAATGAGCAGAATCTCCACATATTGCTCACAATTTGAATCCAATTTAGAGAAGGGGAGAAGGCTTTAGTTCAAAACCTGTTGGTTTTGCTTTCCGCTCCCAGACCCTTCCTCCTCTGTAGGGCTGGCAGGATCCTGGTCTGATGTTGAAGATAGGTGGTCAGACCAAAAAGCAAGGGTCCTCCTCAGCTGTGGTGAGGAATGAGGAGTACCCCCAAATGGACAATTACCTCCCTACAATTTAACTTAACCACTTTGCCATTAGTCATTCACAGGGCAATACCACATGCAGGTTCATTTCAGCCACAACTGCGTGAGAAATTCTAAGGTGCAGCTATCTAGGAGACGGGCAGCAGGTTGAAATTCCCTACCCTCAGAATCAGCAGGAGACAGCTCTTAACATCACCCTATCTCCTGAGCATCCACTCTGTGCAAAGAAGTGCCCTAAGAAACTGCTACCACATGATGAGGTCCTGCTAGGTGTCAGGCTCTTAGGAAATTAAAATCAAACCCTTACAACTCCAGTTTTTTAGGACTTTTCCCCACACACACTTACCCTTAGTGAGGTCACATTAAACTTTCAAAAATGTTTCCCGTCGTGAACGTGGGACGGAGGTGAGGAGTTGTAGATGGACAGCGATGGTCACAATCAGCGACCACCCCAAACACCAGACCCGGGGGGAAATGAGACCCCAACTGCTTAGGCCCCGGGAGACTCCTGAAAGGGTCTGTGGTCATCGCCAGGTCCCTCCTCAGTGCTGGCTGGCTGGCAGACCGGGCAGCTGGAGGCCGAGGCCGGTTTACCCGCGGTTGCCATAGCAACGGCGCTCCGCAGCCTAACCCTCCTGCCCACCCTTTCCCTCAGGGCAGCGCGGCTGGGCCCTGGGAGGCGACCCTGGCGGGAGGAGCACTCACCGCGGGCAGGCGGGCTGCCTCTGACCGAGGAGCACACTCGACACGGGTGGTCGCCCAGCCCCAAACGAACGCCACACCTAAAGAAGCTTAACTTGTCTCAGGCCGGCTGAGCCGACCCAGGAGCTGGACGGGGTCCTCACCGGGACAAAGTGCAAAAGCCCCTGCTTGCCGCGTGCGTGCGTGCGTGGAGCCTGCGAGGGGAGCGCGGGCCGCGCAACGGCGCCCACGTGCCCCAGAGCCTGGTCCCCACCAGCTGCACCCCAGGAACCGAGCAGGGGAGGCTGCCTTCAGCACAGAGCAGCGCAGGGCTAAGTAAAACGGGATGCCCAGACATACTCTCAGCGGGCCTAAAACGGCAGGACCGCGGTTCGAAAGTCACTGCTGAGAGGCGGGTGTGTGTCCTCAAAGAAAGGCTGAAGCGGCCCGTGACGAGTCAAATAACACATCTCTCGATGTGTCCCAAGCCTCTGTGGGCCCACCTCAAGGCATGTCGCAAGCAAGCCACGGAGACTTGAAAAGCTGGCTCCAGCTGTATGCTAATGTTCTGTTGACATGAACCAGGACCGGCTTCAGTGGGCGGGGTCCTGCTCTCCAGCAGCTGCGGGGAAGAAATTCAACTCTACTTGGGCTAGCATAATTATTCAAGGCAGATGTCTTCTAAAATTAAGGTGATTGATAGCCAGCAACAGTACAACAGAGCAATTAATTTTATTGCTTACAGGTGTACATTTGGCAACTACTTAGTTCATCCTGTTCCCTTCATAGGAAAAAACAACAACACTCAAATGGTCATGAGTACTTGGTAACTTCTTTTTGAAAACCATTTTTCAAGCACGAATACTCCCCACCATGTACTCTATTATAGAACTTTGGGATCTTGGCCAAGAAATGTTCTGGAAAATTACAGAACTTTGACTAACAAGTCTGGAAGAGATGTGGGAAGTTTTACTCCGCGTGTTCTCCTTGCACCTATGAGATGGCATGCCTGTCCATCCAAGCAGAAGAACGAGCAGGAGTGCCCGACCACAATATCCAGAAAAGGAGACAAACTCCACCATCTGCTTCATTCGACTGTGACGTGTATGGATCCGCCTTTGATAAACCGCTGAGGCCTTTTACACTCCAGACCCTTCCAAAAAGTAACTCCAAACGATCTACCTCTCGTTTCACAAAGCCTGGTTAAGGGAAGATACTGGAAGGAAGACTTGTTGGAAAGGCATGCAGAAGAGTCCTCCATTGCACACTGTGTGTCACTGGTTCCCAAACTTGCTAAACATCAGAGACATCTATAGGGAGTGGCTTTACTTTTGCTTAATTTTGCGTTTAAATGTAGATTCACAAGCTATTCACTCCGAGATTCTGGCTAAATAGATCTCAGTTTCTGTTTTTGTTTTCCTAGCACTGATTGGAAACCAGTGGGCTAGGTTTCATTCTGAGCTGGGTCAGCGCATCAAAAAGCACTGTGCTTTAGTCTGGGGAGACTTCAGCTGGTAAAATACTTACTGTCCAAGCATGAGTACCTGAGTTTGATTCCCAGAACCCAAGTAAAAAAATTAATTAGTTAAAGTAAATTTAAAAGCCAGGCAGTGGTGGCACACGCCTTTAATCCCAGCACTCAGGAGGCAGAGCCAGAAGGATCTCTGTAAGTTCAAGGCCAGCCTGGGCTACAGGGTGAGTTCCAGGAAAGGCGCAAAGCTACACAGAAAAACCCTGTCTCAAAAAAAAAAAAAAAAGTAAATAAATATTTAAAAGAAAATTGGGCATGGGGGCACATGCTTAGAATCCCAGCACTAAGGAGGTAGAGACAGGATATTCACTGGGGCTTGCTGGCCAGCTATCATAGACTAATTGCTAAGTTTAGGCTAGTGAGCAGTGAGAAACCCTGGGTCAAAAACAAAGGTAGACAGTTCCTAGGAACATCACCTGAGGCTGACTTCTGGCCTACACACACACACACACACACACACACACACACACACACACACACACACACACAAACTACATATATACACAACACAGAGAGGAGGGTGGAGAAGAAGGAGAGAGATTTTGGGGTCATGGGATAAGTTGCAAGCTACATTTTAAAATCAGTATAAGATGGGCATGGTAATGTGTATCTTTAATCCCAGCACTTAGGAGGCAGAAGCAGGCAGATCTCTGTGAGTTCAAGGCCAGCTTGGTCTACATGGTGAGTTCCAGGCCAGCCAGGGCTGTACAGTGAGGCCCTGTCTCTAAATAAATACATAAATAAAATTTTATATATATATATATATATATATATAATATCAATGAATAAAATCAGCAGTATAAAGCTGGGATACAGGTAGCACATGCCTGTATCCCAGCATTCGGGGTATGGAGGCAGGAAGGTGAGCAGTTCAAGGCCAGCCTCAGCCACACAGTAAGTTTCAAGGCAGCCAGAGCTTCACAAAGCCAACATGCTACATGAGATGCTGTCTCAAACATTTTAAAACCCAACAGTATAAGCAGATATTTCTGAAAACTAACCCTATTGTCTCAGACCACCAAGCCTCCTGGCCATGGGTGACTGCTCCAATACTATGCCAAGACGGTGGCATCTCTTTCCCGGAAATTTGAAATAGCAGCTGGGAGATTTGTCTTTCTCTAGGCAAATGCCATAGTTAATATTTAAAAATTAGGAGCTGGTGCACAGGCCTGTGTTATGATCACTGGAGAAGCTGAGGCAGGAGAAGGGTGAGCTGAAGGCCAGCCTGGCCTATGCAGTCAGAGCCTGAAGAAAGAAAGGTGGGAAGGAAGGAAGGAAGGAGCAGAGGAGCTGTCCACAAACATGCTTTTCTACCACAGGGGCTGAAAAACCGTGTCGAAAACCAGATTTCAGAGAAAATGGAAAGAGCATAAAGAAAGGGGTGTGCAGACAGAGACAGCGCCAGCCTGTCCCAGCATTCTCTTGGGTCAGTTGCATTTGTGCCTTCAAATCCAATGTATTACTTCCAGACCTTTGGAATGAAGTGTCCTTTTCTTTAAAGATTTACTTGCTTTTAACTACGTGCATGTGTGCTGCAGGAATGGACGTGTGTATTTGAATGCAGGTGCCCTCAGAGGCCAGAGGAGGATGCCAGATCCCCTGGAGGTGGAGTCACAGGCAGTTGTGAACTGTGCTGAAAACTGAACCCAGGTCCTCGGCATGGGCAGCGCGTGTTTGCTTCTTTTATCTATGTTGTGTTTCTTTAACTCTGTGATGCTGTGCTACTGTGCCTGTCTAAAACACCTGATGGTCTGATAAAGAACTGAACAGCCAATGGCAAGGCAGGAGAAAGGATAGGCGGGGCTGGTAGGCAGAGAGAATATACAGAAGGAGAAAACTGGGAAGAAGACAAAGAAGTACCCAGAGAAGGAGGAGGACTCCAGGGACCAGCCACCCACCTACACAGCAAGCCTCGGAGTAAGAGTAAGATTTACAGAAGTAAGAGAATAGGAAAAGCCCAGAGGTAAAAGATAGATGGGCTAATTTAAAGTTAAGGAAAGCTGGCAAGAAACATGTAAAGCTAAGGCTGGACATTCATAATAAGAATAAATCTCCGTGTGTGATTTATTTGGGAGCTGGGTAGCAGAGCCCCCAAAAGAGTAAAAAACAAACAACAACACGTTCTTAACCACTGAACAATCTCTCCAGCCTCTAAAGGGTACCTTTTACTTGACTAGCTCAATTAGGTGACTTTCTGTTATTGCGACAAATATCATGTTAGTTTTATATGACTATCATAACAAATTCCTATAACTCAGTGACAATACACATTTACGATCTTGCAATTCTACAGGCCAGAAGTCCAACCCAGTCTCACTGAGCTGTAGTCCCTGTCAGCAAGGCTGTATTACTTTCCAGAGCTCTCAGAGAACTTCTGTTTCATTGCTCTATCCAGTTCTAGAGTCTCTCAGTTCTGTCTCTGTCTCTGTCTCTCAGTTCTCCCCCATCTTCAAAGCCAGAAACATTTTGACCACACTTCTAAGATTTTGTTGGCCTCTAATTCCATCTGGGGAGGGGTCTAGGCTCTGCAGGACCCATGTGAGGGCTGGGGATAATAACTCAGCAATAGAGAACCTGCCTAGCATGTGTAAGGCCCTGGGTTCAGTCCCAGGACTACAAAATAAATAAACAACCCATGTGATTAGACTAGGTCCACCCCAAAGTTCACAATAATCCCCCACTTCTATGAAGAAACAGCTATGGGTAGAGAGTCCTTTCCACCCTTAATACAATCACTCTATGCCCCACATAGGAAGGTCAATGCAAGAAACTTAAAGGCATACCTTATCCCTATGAAGAGGGAAAACCATGAGATCAATCTCATTTCCTCTTTTACCATGGCTTCCAGGAAGACAGGGCTCAAATTTGCAGCTCAGTTTTGATAACTTGATCAAACTTCACAGCTCACATGCCTACATTACAACTAACTCTCTTTTATGCTCTTCCATGTTTCCCTCATTCTGACTTTGTCTTTTTTATTGTCTATTGTACTCATTTTTATTTTAAACTACTCAAAACACTGCATTTGCTGTTTGTTCTGCCTCTAAGGCTCTGCTCCCATAGCTCCCCAAGGTTGCTTCCCTCTCATAATTCAGACAGTTCAGTTGCCTCCTCCTCAGAAAGCCCTCCCAGATCTCCTCTCTAAAGGGTTCCCACCCCCCATTTCATGATCTTGCCCCATTTCATGATCTTCCAATACAAACACCATCTGGAGTGGTAGAACCTAACAGAAATCAAAACCAAGTCTCATTAGGAAAAAGTTAAATTTTGAATTACATAATTTTTAAACAAATTCCCATTCAAAAAAATCTTAATACAACATAATCTAAACACCTCTGAATTTGTCTTAGAGAATAGAAAAACTGAGTGATTTGTGTGTGTGTGTGTGTGT